ATAATATGCATAAACACCCAAAATGTCTAACAATACTTTATTATTCATATTGATATAAACATAATGGTCTTTTAGAATCTCAACACTTTAGATAAAGGCTTACCAAATTTTCATGACTTGTTATACATAAGCGAGACTTGAATTGCCTTCCAACAGTATCCAAGCGATTCTTTTCTCTTCTTCCTTGCAGGTAAACAAAAAGTGCCAAAAAAAACACCAGCTCCTCTCCTCCACTTCTCCAGTTGTGGCTCATATTCACCTCTTACAATACTCAGCTCAGGACAGCCATTAAAACACAAGCAACACCATAGTGCAGTATGTTCTTAACTTCTAAACAATTGATGTATAAGGTATTATATTCACAAGTAAATTCCCAGTACTTTTAATGAATAAAGGCCTCACAGAACTTTAAAGAGCAGTTCAAAAGTCATCCAAGTCATCATGCTCTCCACGGAGAAGGAAAACATCATCAACATCTTTACTCAACTCCTTGAATTATGGCCCAGATGCAACTCCCTTTTGGTTCCACAGTGTAGTACTGGCATTAGAAAATAAATATGCCTAGCACTATGTAGGTTTTAAAACCAAAAGCACTTTCTTCATAAAATACTACTTCTATAAAGTAAATATGCAAATTTCCTTTAAAATTTCAGTACATCACTTCTGGGTACGCAGTATACAGTTGCAAGAAAAAGTATGTGAACCCCTTGGGATTATGTGGAGTTTTGCATGAATTGGGCATAAAATGTGCTCTGAACGTCATCTAAGTCACAACAATAGAAGAACACAATCTGCTGAACATAATACTACACAAACATTAGATGTTGACATGGTTTAATTGCACATAACATGTAAACATTCACAGTGCAGGGAGGAAAAAGTATGTGAGGCCCTAGCTTAATGACTTCTCCCAGAGCTAATTGGAGCCAGGGGTGAGCTAACCTTGACTCCAATCTGTGTGATGATATTGGATGTGTTGCTGACAGCTGTCCTGTCCTTAAAAAAACACACCTGTTTTGGGTTTATTGGTTTCAAGAAGCACTGTCTGACGTGAACCATGCCTCACAGCAAAGAGCTCTCAGAAGACCTACGATCAAGAATTGTTGACTTGCATGAAGCTGGAAAGGGTTACAAAAGTACCTCCAAAAGCCTTGATGTTTATGTGTCCATGGTAAGACAGACTGTCTACAAATGGAGAAAGTTTAGCACTGTTGCTACTCTCCCTAGGTGTGGGTCGTCCTGTAAAAATGACTGCAAGAGCACAGCGCAGAATGCTGCATGAGGTAAAGAAGAATCCCAGAGTGTCAGCTAAAGACCTACAGAAATCTCTGGCACATGCTAACATTTTTGTTGACACATCTACAATAAGGAAACCATTAAACAAGAATGGAGTACATGGGAGGACACCACGGAGGAAGCCATTGCTGTCCAAAAAGAATATTGCAGCACGTTTGAAGTTTGCAAAAGAGCACCTGGATGTTCCACAGCACTACTGGCAAAATATACTGTGAACAGATGAAACCAAGATTGAGTTGTTTGGGAAGAACACATAACACTATGTGTGGAGAAAAAAAGGCACAGCACACCAACATCAAAACCTCATCCCCACTGTAAAATATGGCGGAGGAAGCATCATGGTTTGGGGCTGCTTTGCTGCCTCAGGGCCTGGACGGATTGTTGTCATTGATGGGAAAATGAATTCCAGAGTTTATCAAGACATTTTGCAGGAAAACGTACGACCATCTGTCCACCAACTGAAGCTCCACAGAGGATGGGTGATGCAACAGGACAATGACCCAAAGCATACAAGTAATTCAACGAAACAATGGCTGCAACAGGACAGAATACGCCTTCTGGAGTGGCCCAGTCAGAGTCCTGACCTCAACCTGATTGAAATGCTGTGGCATGACCTTAAGAGAGTGATTCACACCAGACATCCCAAGAATATTGCTACACTGAAACAGTTTTGTGAAGAGGAGTGGTTCAAAATTACTCCAGATCGTTGTGCAGGTCTGATCTGCAACTACAGGAAACGTTTGGTTGAGGTTATTGCTGCCAAAGGAGGGTCAACCAGTTATTAAGTCCAAAGGTTCACATACTTTTTCCTCCCTGCACTGTGAATGTTTACATGTTATGTGCAATTAAACCATGGCAACGTCTAATATTTGTGTAGTATTATGTTCAGCAGACTATGTTCTTCTATTGTTGTGACTTAGATGACGTTCAGAGCACATTTTATGCCCAATTCATGCAAAACCCCACGTAATCCCAAGGGGTTCACATACTTTTTCTTGCAACTGTATACGAGGGGCATTTAAGTTAAACTGGGACTTTTGAGGTTATATAATGAAATAAAAATTTCAAGGAGTGGAAACTGCATTTATTTTTCAACATATTCCCCTGCTACATTTACAGTATACACATATCCCAGCGTTTAACTAATGTCTGGAAACCTTTGGCATAGATAGATTTGTCAGTATGCCTGAACCATCCTAGGACATCCTGCTTCACTTTGTTATGAGTGCTGAAATGCTGACCTCCAAGGAACTCTTTTAGGGGTCTAAACAGGTGGAAATCACTCAGAGTGAGACCCGGGCTGTAAGTGGTCTGTGGCAATTCCTTTCAGCCTAGTTGCTGTAATGTGCATTTATTTTTCAACATATTCCCCTGCTACATTTATACACATATCCCAGAATTTAACTAATGTCTGGAAACCTTTGGCATAGAAAGATTTGTCAGTATGCCTGAACCATCCTAGGACAGCCTGCTTCACTTTGTTATCAGTGCTGAAATGCTGACCTCCAAGGAACTCTTTTAGGGGTCCAAACAGGTGGAAATCACTCGGGCTGTAAGTGGTCTGTGGCAATTCCTTTCAGCCTAGTTGCTGTAATGTGCACGTAGTGCGGTGACCAGTATGAGCTTGTGAGTTGTCCTAGAGAAACAGGATGCCCTTAGTAATCAAACTATGCCGTTTTTCCACAGACCTGTGTGTACATCACTCAGAACGTGACAGTAATATTCACTGATGACAGTGGCACCACAGAGTAGAAAACACCACATGAATAACCCCACGTTTATCCCAGAAAACACTTGCCATTACTTTGCCTGCGGAAATGTAAAAAAAAAAGTTTGGTGGCGGTGAGTCTGCATGCCTCCACTGCTTTGATGCTCATATTGATTCTGGACTGACATGATGTGCCCAAGTTTCATCACATGTAATGATGCGATCACTGGACATACGAACATCTTTCAAGCATTTACACCATTCAAATGTCTAACTGCAGGTGAAGATCTCATCACCGTACTGAACCTGAAGCCTTCTGCAGATATCAGCGAGTTTTATTCCTTTTTTCACAAGAAACTTAATTGCCACACGCTGTTCCATGCATGCACTAACATTGTTGGCTGCCATCCTGATTAAAGGTCTCCGGATTGGCCCGCGACATGTGCGCTGCCTATCTGTAATAGGACACACTTTCCACTTACTACTACATGTAGTGCCAACACGCTAGAATCCCTTATAACTACATGCCGCCCAGCCACTGTACATATACGGCGGCAGGGCGGCACTCGCAGGCAAAACCACGTTTTAAGACGTGTGTTCTGTAAACAAATAGGGGGCGCGTGCCCTATCTGTCCCCGCGGATCACTGCCGCAGATGTCAGTTGCCGGGTCACAGCCGCTCGTTAGCGGCTATGTTCCGGCGATCGGCGGCAAACAGTGACAGACAGCACAGCTGCAGTAGCTGTGCTGTCTGTCACTTCCCTGTCAGCTCGAGGATGAGCTGATCGAGAAAGAACAGTTTCTCTTTCTCGATCAGCCTTGTCCCGCCCAGTACACACACCCCGCCCCCTAGTAAAACACTCCCCTCACTCCTATAACCCTTCCCTGCAAAATAAAGTTAACCCCTTCCTCCCCATTGCCATTAGTACAGTGTCAGGTTTTTTTTTTTTGCACTGATCACTGTATTAGTGTTTTTGGGGATGTCAGTGACCCCAAGTTAGTACCCCCCAATTTCAGACTGTCTGCCGCAGTCCCGCAGTCCCGCCATAAGTCGCTGGTTGCTACCATAAGTCCCTGATCGCCGCCATAATTCGCTGATCGCCGCCATTATTAGTATAAAAAAAAAACTAAAAATCCCAGTATCTTTCCCGCCATTTGTAAACGCTATAACTTTCAAGTAAACCAATTAATTTACATGTATTGGGGTTTTTTTTTAGCAAAGACATGTCGCAGAATGCATTTTGGCAGAAATTTATGACTAAATTTGATTTTTGCATTTTTTTTTTACTGGACATGTTTTATAGCAAAAAGTCCAAAATACTGTTTTTTTTTCTCTCAAAATTGTCAGCCTTTTTTTTTATATCGCAAAAAATAAAAACCGCACAGGCAATCAAATACTACCAAAAGAAAGCTCAATTTGTGGGGAAAAAAAGGATGTAAATTTCATTTATGTACCGTATTGCATGACCGTGCAATTGTCCGTTAAACTAGTGCAGCGCTGTATAGCAGAAAAATGGCGTAAGGTGCAGTATTTATAGCATAATTTGTAAACGCTATAACTTCCACACAAAGCAATCAATATACACTCATTGGGATTTTTTTTTACCAAAAACATGTAGCAGAATACATTTTGGCCTTAATTTATAACCAACTTTGAGTTTACTATATATTTTTTATAGCTGAAAGTAAAAAATATTATTTTTCTTCAAAATTTTTGGCCTTTTTATGTTTATAGCGTGAAAAATAAAAAGCACACAGATGATCAAATACCACCAAAAGAAAGCTCTATTTGTGTGAAAAAAAGTACATAAATTTTGTTTGGGTGCAGCATTGCATGACCCGCGCAATTATCAGTTGAATTAGTGCAGCGCCAAGTAGCAAAAAGAGGCCTGGTCATTAAGGGGGGTAAATCCTCTGGAGCTCAAGTGGTTAATACCTGTAAAACTAAAAGTCCAGGTTTGAGTTGAATGCTCCATTCAGGTGTTCCAATCACCTCCATGGCCACAGGTGTATAGAATCAAGCACCTAGGCATGCAGACTGCTTCTACAAACATTTGTGAAATAATGGGTCACTCCCAGGAGCTCAGTGAATTCAAGCATGGTATCGTGATAGGTTGCCACCTGTGCAGTAAGTCCATTTGTGAAATTTTCTTGCTACTAAATACAATATTTCACAGTCAACTGTTAGTGGTATTATAACAAAATGGAAGCAACTGGGAACAACAGCAACTCAGCCACAAAGTGGTAGGCCATGTAAAATGACAGAACAGGGTCAGCGTACGCTGAAGCGCACAGTGTGCAGAAGTTACCAGCTGTCTGCAGAGCCAACAGCTAAAGACCTCCAAACTTCATGTGGCCTACAGATTAGCACAACACATAGAGAGCTTCATCGAATGGGTTTCCATGGCCAAGAAGCTACATGCAAGCCCTACATCACCAAGTGCAATGCAATGTGTTGAATGAAGTGGTGTAAAGAGAGTGCTCAAATGGAATCAATTCAGAGAAAGTGTATCTTTCATAGTGCTGAAATGTCCACAGCGAATTCCCATTATCACTGTGTGCAATACAGGGTCACTTTCTGTTCTGACCTACAGTATAAAAGGTCACAGGCGATTTGTTGATCAATCTCTGCTTCCACCCATTAGCATCTACTTCACCAATACTATATCTTTAGGAGACTGTATTCTGCTGTTTCCACTGGAATAAGGAGTAATTCATAGTGCAACCCCACAAAATGTACTAAACAAATTTGTTAAGCACAAATATCTCACTCACATAACATCAAAGTAAAAAGAGCAATGTTCCAATCTAAAAAATGGCTTCCCTCACCGCACTTCCAGTTTCCACGGTACCGTAAGTGACGTCAGTGGCTTCGCCCAACACGTTGCATCACTTGGTCATGTGAGAGGAGTCCTGTGATGTGCATCCACTTTATAGAGCCTCAACCTGTATGTACTCCATCTAATGGGGAAATAAGGGTATTACATAAACAGAATAAGCTGAATAAAATTGAGAGAGGATGACAAGGGAGAAAAGAGAGGAAAAAAGGTCCCCCTAGTGGTGAAGTAATACTTTTTTTTTTTAATAATCAATAATAAAACAGTTAAAATCGAATTCGATGTTATGACCCTTAGGGGTCAAGGTATCCATTTAAAAAATCAAGTTTGATTAAACCTGACTCAATGTGATTACTTAATTACTCCGTCTCCAGTGGGATTTGAATATTTGTTGATCAATCTCTGCTTCCACCCATTAGCAGCTACTTCACCCATACTACCCTTTAGGAGACTGTATTCTGCTGTTTCCACTGGAATAAGGAGTAATTCATAGTGCAACCCCACAAAATGTACTAAACAATTTTTTTAAGCACAAATATCTCACTCACAAAACATCAAAGTAAAAAGAGCAATGTTCCAATCTCAAAAATGGCTTCCCTCACCGCACTTCCGGTTTCTACGTTACCGTAAGTGACGTCAGCGGCTTCGCCCAACACGTTGCATCACTTGGTCATGTGAGAGGAGAGGAGCCCTGTGATTTGCATCCACTTTATAGAGCCTCAACCTGTATGTACTCCATCTAATGGGGAAATAAAGGTATTACATAAACAGAATAAGCTGAATAAAATTGAGAGAGGATGACAAGGGAGAAAAGAGAGGAAAAAAGGTCCCTCTAGTGGTGAAGTAATACTTCTTTTAAAAAAATCAATAATAAAACAGTTAAGATCGAATTCGATGTTATGACCCTTAGGGGTCAAGGTATCCATTTAAAAAATCAAGTTTGATTCAACCTGACTCAATGTGATTACTTTATTACTCCCCCTCCAGTAGGATTTGAATATTTCTATACCCCAAAACTTAAGCATAGCTGGATTTTTGACATGATGAATCCAAAAATGTTTTTATACGCTATGCTTAGTATAACCTTTTCAAATATTTTGAATATGTTCCTAATTCTTTTCCATAAAGGTCTTTTGGTCCAGCCCACATACTGTAAACCACATGGGAATTGAAGGGCATAGACCATGTGATCTCTTTCTGTCTTCCAGAAGGGTGCTTCTATTAAAATTTGTGACTTCTTTGATCTTACTCTTTTACTTGTTGCTTCAATTGCTTCGGTGTGATTGTTAATAGTATACAATGATGGGATATCTGCTGTAGCTAGTAATATACTATAATTTCCCAATTGTATTCCTATTCAATAATTGTATTAAATATTTTGTATCCTTCAGATAAGATTTTGTTCTTTGAACCATTTACTGTAAAAAACAGTGATTATATTCTCCTAATATCATTCTGACTGATTGAATTCTGTTTACAATTGGTCTTCCAGGAGGATTTTCATAGCACACTATGGGATCACTTAGTGAAGCATGTAATTGAACCCGATAAAAATGGTGTGAACCTCGTGCACTCCTAACTCATTATTTATTTGTTACTTATTTATTTGTTTTATGATTTATTTTCATGCGTTTATAATGTATGGACGTTAATTGGATTAAGTGTGGCACGGTGTGTCATTTCACTTTTGTGCTCTGTTTAAATTGTCACGTGGCATTTTATTTTCAGGTCACATGATTTATATGTGTGATTTGTTTATTTAGAAGTGGTTTTGGTTTTTTTCCTTATTTGTGGGGGAGTGATGGTTCACATATAATTAAGGAGGTTTTCCTTGACATCTGTGTGGTTCCTTCGGTTCTTAGTCCTATTTGGACAGTGCTCATTTTATAGTCCCATTTGAACTATTATCAAGTTCAAACATGTCATTGTTTGGAATTGTCACTTTTTGGTTATCACTTTGGATCCATGAGTGGATCAGTTCACGTTTACACTATTTCTTTTTTGTGAGATTATTTGTGTGTACACTATAAGTTATTGCTATCACATTAGATCCCTTAGTGGATCGGAATTCACTTCTCTCACATTGGATCCCTAGTTGATCAGTTCACTTAACACACTTGTATTATTTTAACTTCATATTATGTATGATTACACTGTTCAACAAATTTTTATTTTTTGCCAGTTTTGGAAACAAAAGGATCCATTTCTTAATGAATTTCACATTCTGAGTTCAAATATAACAATGAAATTTGTCAATTGGCTCTAGTTTTTCTGTAAACGGAAAGTTTTCTACTATAGGCGTAATGCATAACTACATAATGCACAATAATTATATAGATAGATGTCTTTCCACAAATATAAAGCAAGTGATATTGACTACATAACAAAGCCTAAATGGCATAATATATTGCATAGGATTACCAAGAAAAATTATAGCCATAAGCTAAGTTGAATCATTTTAATACTTAGGATTCTCACTAGTTTTGTCTTCAGTTTGTGTCGGTTTTGCTTCTCTTGGCTTTTCTCTTGTATTCGAGGAAAGGGCTATCTCTTACAACTGCACGTGACTACACGCTTCAGGTTCTTCCTCACTTGACTCAACCACAAAGGATTCTGGTGCTTTAGGAATTGGTAGCCCCTCTCCATGAGGAACTGGACGTATTGCCGATGGAATATTTGGATAGTGCACAGATAACTTTTTCTTCTTATTTAGCCCTTTTACAATTGGAGGCACCATACAAAAGTAACAATTACTAACATGATCTGTTGGCTCTCTCCAAATCATTGGCACAGCGAAAGGCATAGATGCCTTTTTTCCATTCAATCATTGCTCCAGTGCCATCCCACAAGAATTGCAGCATATATGTGGTGCCCAGCTCTTGTCCTGGTCTCCTATCTTGCAGCCAAAATACAAGTTGTAGGCTTTCTTAATCATTCCTGTTATCCTCCTTTTTTGTGAGATAAAAGTTATTTCACCGCAGATATAGCAGAAATTATCTGCTTTATTCACACAAGTTCGAGGCATTACTGAGTAGCCTATATAAGCATAAAACGAAATGTAAAGACGCTGTCGAACTACAATCAGCTACAGATACTGCAGCTTTTATGCAGTGAAGTGATGCAATTAAAGGCTAATATTGCATCATCTCAGTATACATGCAATTTTCTATTGGTCACCAGTATCAATTGCGCAATATGCAGCTGAAGTTGCATCATAATTTTGAATGGCTTACGTCATTAGATGGGTGAATATATCATGGAAACTAGAGCCAATCAACATTTTTTTAGGGTCATTTTCGTTTTCAGCACCCCAAAATTATGTAAGATTAGCTAATTTTATGCCCAAAACTTTTTACCTGTTGAACAGTGTTATCACTTATATGTGTATTGATTTATTTTTTTTTTATTTTCTTTTTCACTTAATATTTATATATTTATAATAATTTAGGTAGCGCTACATCATTTACTTCTGGTTATGTAATTGAACCCCCTACAATTAAGAAAACATGGACGTTTTTTGAGGGCAAGGGATTTTACCCATGTAAAATGTGCTATGTTTGCAAAAACACAAAGGAGAATAAAAAAAATGTGAAACCTTCACCTCTACATCTAACAGTATATCAAATACGAGATTTGTATCTCATTTTGGACAAAGGCAGTGGTCTATTCTTTCCAATGCCCATGCAGTTTACAATATGCGGGCCGGACCAGTAGACCTTTATGGAAAACAATTAGGAAACATATTCAAAATATTAAAAAAAAGTTATACTAAGCATAGCGTATGCAAACATTTTTCAATTCATCATGTCACACAGTCCAGCTATGCTTAAGTTCTGGGGTATAGAAACATTAAAATCCCACTGGAGGGGGAATAATAAAGTAATCAAATTGAGTCAGCCTGAATCCAAGTGGATTTTTGCAATGGATACCTTGATCTCTAAGGGTCATAACATCGAATTTGATCTTAACTGTTTTATGTGATTATTTTAAAAAAATACTTCACCACTAGGGGGACCTTTTTACCTCTGTTCTCCCATGCTGTACTATTTCTATTTTATTCTGCTTATGTAATACTCTTATTTTCTCATTAGATTGAGTGTTTGGTCATCATTAGTGTGGTCAGAATAGTCATTTTTAAATTAGTAACATTGCTCTTTTTTTACTTTGATGTTATGTGAGTGGGAAATTTGTGCTTAATAAATGTGTTTAGTTCATTTTATGGGGATGCACTATGAATTACTCTTTCTTCTCTTGAGCACTCATTATTCCAGTGGAAACAGCAGAATACGGT